AAGCGGTATGCCCAAATAGATAAGGAGGCCTTATCTATCGTCTGGGGGGTCCGTAAGTTTCACACGTATTTGTTCGGACGATCGTTTGTGCTGCTGACAGACCACGAGCCTCTGACAGCCATTTTCAGTCCGAGCAAAGGATTGCCAGCTCTGACGACAGCGCGTCTACAGCGATATGCCATATTCCTGGCCAGTATGAGTTACGAGATCAAGTATCGCAAGTCAGGTGATCATGGAAATGCTGACGGCTTATCACGACTGCCCTTGCCGCACACGCAAGAGGAGAGCCTGGACTGGGCAGAAGTATTCAACATGGCCCAGATTGATCCGCTTCCAGTGACAGCCGTGGAAGTCGCTCGCCACACCGCTCGTGAGCCAGTCTTGGCCAAGGTCCTAGCCAGTGGCACCCTGGGCTGGGGCGCATTCAACAGCGGCCGCTGGCTTCAAGGGACCTGGTCGCCTGAGCAACTCACTCACAGCATTGAGTGGAAGGAGCTCTACGCGTTGGCCACAGCGTGCTGCACGTGGGCCACGGAATGGCACCAGCTTCGTATCACAATGCACTGTGACAACAAGGCTGTGGTAGATTGCATCCGCTCCGGCACATCCAAGTCACCGCCAGTGATGACCCTGATCAGAGAGCTGTTCTTTGTGTGCGCCCGCTTCAATTTCACCGTCACTGCTGCTCACATTGCTGGCCAGTCTAACTGCATTGCCGATTCGCTGTCTCGTTTCCACACGGAGGAATTCCGACGTCTCGCCCCAGCTGCTCAAGCACAACCAGACCGAGCAGTGCTGCCATTCCAGTCGATGTAATATAGCCTTGACATACAGGTACCGATTGTCATTGCTAAATTGCCGTATTGAGAACCTGCGTTGGATTTCATCCATCTGCATGCCTACCTTTATCCATCTCGTGCCTTAATCACTTGTTCTTAGCTCTCGTGCATTGGTGGTGAACGCTTGCTGGGGTGCCGTGTGCTGGTTTTCTGGGAACAGCTTCCTTCAACTGGTTGCTTTGCTGCTACTATCTCTGCTTAAAATTGCATACTATTGGTCGGCTGTTTGCGACGCCAATCAGTAGTCATTGCACCCGGTCGCGGGTACTATTGCCGCTCAAGCATGAGCGATTGCTTTGGCCGTTTGCAACGCCAACTGCTTCACCCTGGTTGGCTGTTTGCAACGTCGATCAGGGAACTTTGCACCCGGTCGCGGGTACTGCTGCAGCTCAGTCGTGAGCGATCACTTTGGCTGTTTGCAACGCCAATCGCTTCACCAGTTGATCGAAACCAGCACACTGGTGTACCCCAATCATCCTTGTGCGGTGTTGTGAGAATACGTGGGTATGCATGCAGCTTTGCTCTGTGACTTTCCATTGCATGTAGTCACTTGGCTCTCCCATTTCCTATACACTGCTCTGAAGCATTCGGGTGCAAGCGCTAAATGTTGGGTTAGCTTTTGGGCTAACCCTAGTTAGCGATAAGACCGATGCGCTGCTCTCTATCTCATGCTAGCTAGCTGCGACTGAGCTGGCTTTACACGTGCACTCAACTGCTGCGCATGCGCGCCCAAATCGCCTTGGGTAGCTCTTGCTGCGCTGACTTTGGCTTGCGCTTTCCTTTGCAGTGTCACTGAGCAGCAACCGGAATTTGTTTGCCACCCACCCTCCCATTCCCACATTATATAGGTGGGAACAGCTTCCTTCAACTGGTTGCTTTGCTGCTACTATCTCTGCTTAAAATTGCATACTATTGGTCGGCTGTTTGCGACGCCAATCAGTAGTCATTGCACCCGGTCGCGGGTACTATTGCCGCTCAAGCATGAGCGATTGCTTTGGCCGTTTGCAACGCCAACTGCTTCACCCTGGTTGGCTGTTTGCAACGTCGATCAGGGAACTTTGCACCCGGTCGCGGGTACTGCTGCAGCTCAGTCGTGAGCGATCACTTTGGCTGTTTGCAACGCCAATCGCTTCACCAGTTGATCGAAACCAGCACACTGGTGTACCCCAATCATCCTTGTGCGGTGTTGTGAGAATACGTGGGTATGCATGCAGCTTTGCTCTGTGACTTTCCATTGCATGTAGTCACTTGGCTCTCCCATTTCCTATACACTGCTCTGAAGCATTCGGGTGCAAGCGCTAACGGCCCCAAACAGGCTGTAAATGAGCACGTGACCGCTTACTCACCCGTGTTCGATTTGGAATAAGGGCCGAACGCTGCATCGCAGCCTTTTCGGACCAAAACCAGTCGACTCAGCGGCCAAAAGACTACAACATATGGACCAATCGTGGTCACCCGCGCTTTTATAAGAACGAAACGGCGCTTTTAGTGCCTTTTTCCATACAAATCCCTATCTAGTAGGGCGCAGTCACCCAGTTTCGGTGGAAGTGCGCGAGTTCGATTGGGAATAAAGGAGGAAGGGAGCGTCTCAGCTTCCTCGGACCAAGACCATTCGACTCAGCACCCCGAAGACTACAACTGGTGAAAATTTGATTTTAGGGTATACTTCCCCTTTAAGTTGGCTCGATCCACAAGCGCACGGGCTGGTCTTCGTTTTTGACGAAGAATGTATGTGTGGAGGTCAAGTCCGGCGTGACGTCACTCGGTACTTCGGGACAATTTTGGCCGTAGTGTTGAAACGAGCGTATCTATAACAAACGAGCGATCAGTTCCACTAACGAGCAAGCTATCGAGCGAGCTAACGAGTTTCATTGATGTGTTTTTTCTAAGTTCGATTTTTTCAGCTGGTTCAAATTATCACCGCCGGCATTTGGGGTTGCTGCTGCTTCACTTCGGACTGCTGTTTGGTGTCGAGATGTCTTTTCAGCGCCGTCGTCGAGTAGCCTTTGTAAGAATAGACCGTTTTGCAACGATTGCAAGTAGCCCTGGTCATCGCTGCATCGCGGGAGAAAACTTCCAAACGACTGAGCGTAACTTTCACTCGAATGGAGAGGTGACCGAAGCATATCCTGCGACAGGTCAGCAGATGCGGAACAAGACATCAGTAGAGTCCACCGAAGCTGCAACGACAACTGAAACAACTCAAGTGTCGTGCAGGCATACAGTCACTGTAACTGCGAGTGATTTTCACTTTGCGCGGGACTGGACTCTCGATCCACCAGGGAGTCGTAACATATTTTACGACTCCCCGGTCGACATGTACTGCCATGTGTACGGAGTACGGTGATCGTTAGTGCAAACGAGCTGGCCGCACAAACGAGCCGAGTTTCTGGCGAGCGAGCTAACGAGTATCCGGTGAGATCGTTTCAATACTAATTTTGGGCACTTTCTTTTCAAGTTTTCACCCACTTCCAGTCATCGCAGAGAAAAACGAATAACACCATCGTGATCAGGAGCCAAAAGACTACAAGACAAAGAATTTTTTTGTGACAGTTCCCCTTTAATATTCAACGCTTACAGCAGATCCCATGTCTCATTATGAACTCTGTATAGGGGACGCCTAATTGGCTGGACTTTATACACGGAGTGTTGTCAACATAAAGACTATTTTATAGTTGATTCCAAGTTTGGGCTGCGTATAGTAGATTCTGAACCAATAAACTCAATATAGGGGGAGCCAATTGGCTGGACTCTATACAGGAAGTGATGCCCATCTAAATTTTGAACTTACAGTTGATTCCTAGTTTGGACTGTGCATAGTGGGTTTTGGACCAATGGACTCTATAATTATAGGGGATGGACATCTTATAGGGGCTGGACGCTCTACTGAGTCCAACATACTCTAATTTCAGAAATTTTCGGTGCTCAATATTTTCGGAATGAGGGCAAAAGGCCAGGTTAGGTGAACAGAAATTTTCGGTACAGGGAAGCTGCTCCCTATTGGATTATGCATGTTAGTGTTTGTTCGGTGTATTGAAATTTTAGGTACGAAGCAGATGCACCGAAAGTACCGAAAATAAAAGTACACCGAAAATTTGTGAAACTACAGTATACTCTTGATGATCTTCTTGGAACATGATGTTTATCTTCTCTCCCTTTTCTATGCGAACATCAACACTCCGTAACTCCTTTTGGGACACCCACCTTAGCGCCTGCAATGTACATTATACATGTTTTAAAAGTCTCTGCTTGGTGCATGTGGAATGTTTTTATTAGCTGTTGGGTATCGTGCTATTACAGTCCTGTGCCCATTTTTTTTCTTGATGATTGTTAGTGGTGAAACGAATATCAAAACCCAGTAGCCGAATATTCTTTGGCTTAACGAACGAACGAACGAATATTCTTTCGTTAACACGGATGACATCACACACCCTCCTCTCAGTCATTTTATTGAATATTGTCACTATTATTAGGCATGACAAACGAAGGCACATATTTCTCCACTATTTCTAGGTCATTTTTCACAAAATCCCCAGCTGAAGTGCATTTTACACGCTCAAAAAACAGCTCAAGACGTGATTTTTCGTTCGGCCGCCATAACTCCATTCCAAGACCTCGGATCGCGTCCGAGTTGCTTCGAGACGATAGCTGAGAGTTTTCTAATGCCGATGGAACTTTCGATGAAGCGGTTCGGTCAAGTATTCGCGAAGTTACGGAAGTTTGAAGTCGCCCGGTACACTCTGCATACCCGGTTAGCGAATATTCACAATGAGAAATATTCGTTCGAATGTGACAAACCGAACGAACATTCGAATATTCGGTATATTCGTTTCACCACTAATTGATTGTTAACCTCTTTTCCTCTCTCGCCATAGTACATGCATGTATGACTTATCGTCTACTCGCAACGCTGCTCATTTTTAAACCCATCGCAGCGGTACTTCAATCCTGGTTAGTGTTTATTTTATGACTGAAACGTTGAAATATTTTTTTCTGAAATGAATTTGTGAAATGCAGTGATTGAGTGTTAGCCAGTTTTTCTCACAACCCGCTTTTGTTTATTTATTGTTCTGAACTCTACCGGTGAGTTTGAAGTTGGCCAATTTCCTCAGTCAATGAACTGTTGTATGTGGTATGTGTATGTCTTGCTTTCCAATGTAGTGGGGCTGAGACAGTCATGTCTCTGTGTACAAGTCCTCTTCAAAGAAGGAGATCTTTTTAACATGGATTTACAGTAAGTCTTGAGCAAACCTTGCCACTTTATTATTTTGTTTTTGTTTTTGTTACAATAATACTCGACTGCACTATCCTTTTAGCTTGGAACATGACACGTCGCAAAACCCGTGGTGCGTGACATAAGGTAAAGCCCATACTAGTAGTCAATTCTGATGGTAGGGACAATAGGCGTCAGAGATCCCCTGTTTCAATGAGCTCCACGTAATGAGGGCGGTGCTCATGTACTCTCCCCATGTTGCCTTTGCGTCCCCAGGCGAAGTCAGATACCCAACCCCATGGAGATAAGTCTCCTGGAGGCGGAAATGCTCTTCACTCAAACTGGAAATCAAACCCATAACCTCATGTTTGAAAGGTCAATGCGCAAACCTATTGATTTTGCCAACTACGCACTCTGGTGCATGGCATATAGTCCTTTTGCGCGTTCGACGATGACATCATCGCGTAACGGTCATTTTCAAACCTAATGGGTGTCCTGGACATGACTCGAGTTGGAGAAGAAGCTGAAGTGGTTTGATTTTGTTTGATAGGTTGGTCGTATTTTGACAGCGTGCTGTAGTTCTGCGTGGATCTGCAACCTGTACAAGCCTGTCGACAGTATGCCTCATCACTGCTGTGTCTCCCAGTGCGATTCCAACAGCGGAAAACCTGGAGACGACGCAGTCGCATTCCACAGTTTTCCTGAAGACAAAGACCTGAGAAAGCGTTGGATCGCCAACATTCATAGATATGTAGGAGCCGCTTTCACCATCACGAAGCACACGAAAGTGTGTTCTCGGCACTTCGCGGATGAGGTATATCACGCAGGAGCACACAAGCGACCGTCCGAGCAGAAGAAGTCACAACAGACTCGCCGAAGGCTTCTGCCAACTGCCGTACCTACGATTTTCGATTTTCGTCCTGAAGTGACCAAGCGCAAGCCACCAGCAGAAAGACGCGCGCTGCCCTCGGCAAAGAAGCCAAACCCATCAGCTCAAGGCGCCTCTAGTGTCATTACCCAGTCTGCAACTGCCACTGATGTTGTCCCTTCTGCAGATGACTCCCCAGACGTAGTACCAGTTGAACACCAGCACTGTGAATGTGTTGAAATGCTGAGAGCAGAAGTGGATTTGCTCAAGAGTGAGAACGAGGTCCTCAAAAGTCGTTGCTTGACCACAGAGGACATGGAAGCCAAGTTAAATGCTGCAGAGAGACATGTGTTCTCTATCCACAGAGTAAAAAATAACCAGAAATTATTGTCTTTCTACACTGGATTTTCATCGTTCCTTATGTTCATGGCATGCTTCAACTTTCTGCACGATTCCGGCAAGGTGATGCGGACGTAGATGGGTTCACGGACGGCACCTGATGACGCGATGCAACATGGCAGCAAACCAGGCAGTAAACCGAAGCTAGAGCTGATAGAGCAGTTCTTTCTCATCCTCGTCCGTCTTCGTCTTGGACTGAAAGAAGTTGACCTTGCTGACCGGTTTAAAGTCCACCCATCCACTGTCTCGCGCACTGTGACAACCTGGGTAAATTTAATGTACCATAGGTTTCGCCAACTTCCATCTTGGCTTCCAAGGAGAAGAATAGACAAATTGATGCCACCTGCTTTCAAGCAGTGGTATGCAACAACTCGCGTTGTGATTGACTGCACAGAGTTTTTCATAAACATCCCATCATCGCTGGCGCGGCAAAGTGCTACGTGGTCGGCGTACAAGAACCACAACACGGTAAAAATGCCTTATCGGCATTGCACCGCATGGCCATGTGACATTTGTTTCGAAAGTATTCGAAGGATCTGTGTCGGATCGTGCCATCACAGAACAGAGCGGCCTAATCAGCTTATTAGAGCATGGCGATTCCATTATGGCAGACAAAGGTTTTGACATACAAGATCTTCTTGATAGCCATGGGTTCCGCCTGAACATCCCCCCATTTCGCTAAGGAGGACGCCAAATGACTCCTCAAGATCTTGCAAGTACAAAGAAAATTGCTGCTGTACGGATTCATGTAGAAAGGAAAATGCAGAGGATCAAATGCTTTGAGATCGTTGGCAAGGAAGTTGATAATACTATGTTTGACATTCTAGACCAGCTTATTTACGTGTGCGCAATGTTGACTAATTTCCAGGGCTCGTTGGTGGCATAAAAACTTCATCCGGACACTACCGTACTGGCAATATATGTTGCCGCGTAACGCGTAACGCAGGGGGGTGCGGCGTAACGCGCGACCAGGCTAGTGCGACAAATTTTCGTTGAGTTCGTAACGCGCGTCCGGCGGGGTGCGGCGATCTTTTCATTGCAGTTTGCACTGCACAAGAAAAAATGATGCGGCAAAAGCAAAAAAAATGATGCGGCAATAGCAAAAAAGTGATGCGGCAATAGCAAAAAAAGGACTGCGGCAATATAGAAACCTGTGTAACGGCTCCTGTGCGACTTTACATGTAACGCCCTGCGTGCGGCAAACATGTGCCAATGTAACGCTTCATGGCCTCACTGCGGCTACATATATTGCCAGTACGGTATTAGGGCCGGGTTCCACTGCGGCTCCGCGGCTCCGCTGCTCCGCGGCACTTGGCTGCATGCAGCGGAGCAGCGCGGTTCCATTGACACTCGCCATTCGCGGTACCGCGGTCGTGGTCTACACTTTTTGATGACGTTTCACCTGCCTGCGCGCGCGCGCGAAATCAAAAAAATTCTCGTGTTCTGGCCTGCGCAACGAATTAAATTTTGAATTTTAAAATTCTGGCGTACGAAACAATGCAAAGTACGGGAAACAGGTCGAGCCGCGACCGCGGCTCGCAGTTTTTGGTCAAGAATCGTAGCAAAGGCTCGCGGTGAGCCGCGGCCTCGCTGCTCCAGCTCGAGCCGCGGTCACTATGGTAATGATGACGTTTCAAGCCGCGAAAGACGAGCAGCGGAGCAGCGGAGCCGCAGTGGAACCCGGCCCTTATCACAACTTGTTTGCATAATAGTACAGCTTATGGCTGATACATGTATATACATTTGAACTTATTGATGAACGTTTACTCTGTCGTGCCGGTACTTGCTGCGATGGGTACTTCTGTATGAATGTACTAAAAATACATTAACATTCTACTCCCCATGCTAGAGTATAGAGTAGACACACACGCGTGCAGGACGCGACACACCAAAAGACAAGAGAGAGTTTGGAAGAATGGGAATGTCGGGCAGAGTAGCTGGCCTCAATTGAGTGCGCGTTAACGAATCGTGTGGTCGGCCTACTGAGGGCAGGAGCTGTATATGACCAAGTGGGTCGGCCTGCGCTGAGCAGGAGCGGTTTGTGACCCATGCGAGTTGGTGGGTCGGCCTGCGTTGAGCAGGAGCGGTTTATGACCCATGCGAGTTTAATAGTAGTGCGCGAGAGGCCAGTTACGGAGGAGTGCCCGCATCCATGTGTTTCAAAATATATGGAGTGGAGTGTAAGAGTAAGAAATGGGATGAGGAGGGTGGGTCAGAATTTGAAAGCTGACTGCAGGCAAGGAAACTGGAAAGACAGCAAGCTCTGTTGTGCGCACAGGAAATCTGCGCATGCGCAGAGCGTGGGCATGTGATGCCTATGATACACAGCAGTATGTAGAGAGAGCAAGATTGTGCACACACGTAAGGAGGGTTATGCAACCCGTTATAAAGGCCAACAGCGAAGCAATGGTATGTGACTGTTAACAACGGTTAACTCCAACATTAACCGAACATTTAACATTCTACTCCCCATGCTAGAGTATAGAGTAGACACACACGCGTGCAGGACGCGACACACCAAAAGACAAGAGAGTGAGTTTGGAAGAATGGGAATGTCGGGCAGAGTAGCTGGCCTCAATTGAGTGCGCGTTAACGAATCGTGTGGTCGGCCTACCGAGGGCAGGAGCTGTATATGACCAAGTGGGTCGGCCTGCGCTGAGCAGGAGCGGTTTGTGACCCATGCGAGTTGGTGGGTCGGCCTGCGTTGAGCAGGAGCGGTTTATGACCCATGCGAGTTTAATAGTAGTGCGCGAGAGGCCAGTTACGGAGGAGTGCCCATGCCGACATTCCCATTAGGGCCAGAGGAGATAGCGGGTGATAACAGCCAATATAGATGGTAAGTATGTATTGCACAAGAGCGTTGTTCTAGAGGCATAAAGTCAGAATGATATTGTGGAGTAGGATCGACAAAGAACGCTATCTGCATCCTAAGTGAATGTCTTTGCACTTACTCGGTGATCGGCTGGACCATGGTGTCAGGCCGCTCCGCAGCTGTAGGAGCAAAGGTCATGAAGGCATCCATCTTGTTCCGGGACAGGGCATCAGCGATGGTATTGGAAATTCCTGGCAGGTGCGATGCTCGGATCAGGAAATTGTGCTTCACACAGATTGAGTACAGGGTGCGGATGAGTGCCATGACTGCAGGAGACCGGCTCGTGCCCGTCTTCAGGCACTCCACGACAGCTTGGTTGTCGCACTGAAACTCCACACGCAGCCGCAGCCACTCGATCCCCCATGTGGCGCAGGCCGCGACAATGGCGAAGAGCTCCTTGTAGGTAATGCTTAGTTCCAGTTGCTGCGGAGACCAGTCACCTCTGAACCAGCGACCATTGAAGAAGGCTCCAAATCCAATGGTGCCACTTGCGTCGGTTTGCAACCGGAGGTCAGCGCTGGGCATCCACTTCTCTAGCAGGAAAAATGACTTTCCGTTCCATGTTGACAGAGTCTGGTGCCACCAGCTCAGGTCGCCCTTGGCTGAGGCTGAGAGGTGCAGCATTCGGTGAGATGACATCTCAGATGTGGCCTTGTCGAGGTCATACAGGCGGCGTAAGAATGTACGGGCGGCAGGAGTTGCTCTGGAAGCGAACGAGAGGTGGCCCAGGAGGGAGGCGAGTTCGCGTTTGAGAACGCAACCCTGGTCGAGGGTGGTAGAGACTAAACGACGTAGGGCCAGAAGCTTGGACTGAGGCAGACGCACTTCCAAGCGATCGGTGTCCAGTTCCAAACCAAGGAAGGTGAGGACAGTGGAAGGGCC